CCATGGGAAAGAATGAGGAGCAGAGAGAAAAATGCTCAACCTTAATCGGCTTGTTAATAGTCTTTTCCTTTGGGCTTAGTCAGAGTTATTTTCTTTCGAGCTTCTGTGTTAGCAGCAAAAATTCTGGAATTATTATTTCCTAATCTTTTTTTATATATATATTCACATATTTATTGGCTGTCCATGTTCTATTTTGCTTTGCCTATTTGTGTCTTGTTATTTTTATTGCTGTTGTGCTGGGTGGGGTAATTGTAGCATTTCCAAAGCTTCTTACAATGTCTTGAATTCCCCCCTCTACTTCTGTCCCCCATCTCCCCCTGATTCCTGGAACAGTTTCAACAGGTATCATTTTTGCATTTACATACATGTGTATACGTTATCTGCACCACATTCATCTTCTTACCCCTTTCCCCATCACCTCGCCCCTCCCACCTGTGCCAGTCCCGCCCCTTATTTCCTAATCTTTATAAGTTGGTCTACTGTTTATCTTAATTCACACAGGAAAACCAGTGCTGCTGGGGACCCAGGGAATGGAGCCATCTATGTTTTCAGTAAGTGGCTTTACTGTAAGTCATGTTTCCTAAGGCTGGGCCCTGCCCGTTACGACAAGGTGGGGGTGACACAGCAACAGGATAGTCCCTCAGCCATTGCTTAAAACAAATCTTCTGGGTGGGGCACATAGCTCAGTAGTGCAGCGTTCACCTAGCGTGCGTGATGGTTTGATGACTTTGACTCCCACTACTTAAAAAAAAAATCTGCCCTCAGCCCACAAATGCTCCTCTTGGACAGTAATGCAAGAGAGAAAGCTCTGTCTTTTTTTCCAGGCACTGAATTATTTATTTGGGTCTCTTTTTTGACCATCTATCTAGCTTTGCTCTGTCCAAAACAGAAAGGGGCACCTAGTGCTAGGTGAGTTTGTAAAGTGTGTGTGTGTGTGTGTGTGTGTGTGTGTGCGCACAGCAGGAGCAGAGAAAACAGATACTGCAGGTTGGCAACCTGCAGTTATTTTTATGGCAGACAAGAACATTTTCATAACTCAGTAGACATCTGTGATCTGTGATAACTTGGAAAGCAAGACCACATGCCAGTATGCTCTTAGGAAATTCATTGGAAAAAGCCAAAATTTTAGTGTGAAGGCTCTTAGGGACGGTGACTGAGTTTGGCAGACACTGTTGACACCCCCCCCACACACACACACACACATACACACAACCCTGCCCTTTAGTCACTTCAGCGTACATGGTCCAATGTCTATCTGTCAACAGCACCATCTCCCTGCTGCATCAGCCCAGGCTGAGGGCTTTGTTGGCCTGGACAAGGCAGAGCCCTCCTGGACTGGAAGTTAGTTTGCTATTGAATCAAGTTGAAAAGTTAAGCATGGAGGTGAGAGCACAGGCATTGGTTCAGACTGTCTGTGAACCTAACCTTTCATCACTCATTATGGCACCTGGAGCAAGCAATTCAAATTCTGAGAGCCAGTCTCTTCATTTGTAACATGGAAACAATACTAACGCTATGTAGCTCAAAAGACTGTTGTAAGAGTTGACTGAAATCATCACGGAACCTCCTTCAGAGCACCTCTCAAAAACCATGGCTGCTATAGGTAAAAGCATGTAGATACGTTTCCATTGAAATTGAAGTGAAGCACCACATTCACCACATTCTCCAGCAGGTAGGACTGCACACAGGGTGGCTTTACTTTTTATTTTTATTTATTTATTTACTTACTCGTTTATTGGAGTTACTGGTGTTTGAACTCAGAGCCTTGCACATGCTAGGCAGGCAATCTATGGCTAGACTATGCCCTCAGTCTCACATGGTGGTTTTAATTGTGGGTGTGGGGATTCCTGTAACAGGTGGGGAAAGCCCTCCTGATCTTCCCAGGAAGGCTGGGGGCTATGACAGCTGCTTTTACTTTATGGACTACTGCCACCTGGTGGCCATATTTCATACTTGCATGCAAAGATGAACACTGACGGTCAACTGAGCTCATTAGAACAATGTGAGAATTCCATCCTTGACATTATGGGTGAAGGTGCTTCTGTGGCTTTCTCATTCACCTTGGGAAGTTCCTTCCTAAATTTCTCTTTGTAAGCTTCTGGTACCTTGTGATCCTCTATTAGCGAGTTTGGAAATCTACTTGACTTTTCCTAAACAGTTTATCCCTTGGCTGTCTCTATCTCTTTCTCATGTGCAAAAGAACATGCAATTTGTATGTAGAGAGGAAATATGAGGCTATTTGAGTTGAGACTCAAGGTACTGTGCAGCCAGGGTCAGGACCCATTGCCCCAGGTGGGATACCCAATGCTTGCTGCATCTTACAGTCACTATTGGGATAATTTTACTCCAGACCAATAAAAAACTACCTATTATTTTCCTTCTTATCTCAAATTATACAGTCATGGTATTCAAACTGTTATCAACACAAGCTCAGTATGCTCACCATAAGATGGAAGCTAACTAGTCAAGAGGCAAGATGGCAATAGTGAAAAACTTAAATTACAATTAGCTAGATGATTAGAAAATAGCAGGAATTCTTCTCCTTAGGGAGCCATCTTGCTGGGAAGCTGATTTAGGGGTGGTTTATATAGGAGATGGGTGATCACAGACTAGTGGGCGCCTTCTCGCCACAAGGTGGTTTGCGGCCAAATGGTGACATTCAATCTGAGTCACCCGTTCACAAGATGCTTTTTTCAGTTCTGCCAGACTCAAGAACAAAGACCACTATCTCCTAAGAAATGTCGTCATTGATGAGTTTGCCCGCACGAAGTTCCTGACATATTACGCCATGGACAGGCTAGAGGAGGCGGCTGCACGAAGCCCTCTTGCGAATCAGTAAACTCACGGTCACGAAAGAATAAATGACTCCCCTGATTATTGTCACATGAAGTCAAGCAGAGAGTTGGAAAGATCTGGTCCCAGGGCTCAGCTTCAAAACTTATGTTGTTTGAAGACTGGGGGTGTAGCTCAGTGGTAAAGAGCTTTTCTAGCAAGTGCAAGGCCCTGGGTTGGATCCCCAGCACTGCAAAACCTATGCTATTGAATCTTTATGTGAAGTCCACAATTACATTATTGCTATCACTGAAGTTTATAAATCATGAGTTAGTCCCCAGGGTTTTATGCTTGTTTTGCAGTGCTGGGGCTCAAACTATGCATGCTAGGCAAGTTCTCTGACACTCTGAGCTACATCCCAGCCGAGTTTTGAAACTTGAAACTTAAGTGTTATGTGCTCAGACCTACTCACATCTTTTTTTCTTTTTCTTTTTTTGGCGGGACTGGTTTTGAACTCAGGCTTCATACTTATTAGGCAGGTGCTCTACTGCTTGACCCACACCTCCAACCCTTTTCTTCTGGTTATTTTGGAGATAGAGTCTTACTTTTTGCTCAGGCTGCCCTGGACTGTGATCCTCCTATTTTAAGCTTCCCAGGATTGCTGGGATGACGGACTTGTGCCACTACACCCAACATTTGTCTGTTGAAATGGAGGGTCAAACTGTTTTTTGTTTGTTTCTTTTTGCCAGGGCTGGCCTGAAATTGTGATCCTCCCCATCTCAGCTTCCCATATAGCTTGGGATGACAGTGTGTGTCACGGTGCCCAGCTATTGGCTGTGATGGGGTCTATTTGCCTGGGCTGGCCTGTGATCCTCCCAATCTCAGCCTTCCAAGTAGCTAGGATTATAGGCATGAGCCATCAAGCTTGGCCCTGTTCACTTTTTATGCTCCAGACTGGTGATTCCCAAAGTGAGGCCATAGAGGCAGCAGAAGCTGTATCTTCAGGAAACTGTTTAGAAAATTCTCAGGCTGTTCTCCAGACCTATTGATCTGAAATCCCAGGGAAAGGCCCCATTTGTGTGTAACAAGCCTTCCAGGTAACATGAAACTAAAGTTTGAGAACCAGCACCCTCCAGAAGCATATTGGTATTACAAACTGGAGACCACTGCAGACAGAATGTTCTATAAATGAGTGCACAGAGGAAAAAACCAAAGAGAGGTTTGTGATTTGATTCTAATTGTTCCAAGTCCACCATTTGTGAAGTAAGTTTAGAGAAATCTTCCATCAAGGTTAGTGGACCTGGAGATCCCTGTTCCTGGGCAGAATAACGCACTCTGCACTGTGCAAATGTTCCTCTTTCCCCACAAAAAGCATCTGAACACCTGAGCAACATTCAGAAACTGCCAGTGTGACATCTCCAGGGATTTCCTGAGACCCTAGTCTTTGCTTTGGTGGAAGCTTATATATTTAAAACTTTCTGAATTCTCCGTGCCAATCCCCCATCTGTTCTCTGTGCCCCCCTGCAGCTTGATTCTGAATTGGGTGTGGGTTGTATGTAGAGACGGATGTAGTCATCACCCTCTGCTGGCCTAGAAATCCCGTAATTACCATGAGCAGTGCTCCAAAGAGACTTCATCACCTCACATGTCCCATAATGGTCATCTGTTTGCCACCAACAAGAAATGAAGGAAATGGTGGTAGACACACGCCCCTGCCCTTCCCACCGAGGCTTTGCATGCTGGCTCTCTGCCCAGTAGAGTTGTGTCATTGTTTTGTTAGAGTCTCTTCAGTAAGAATCCTGAAAAGACAACATCTGTCTGGACTGTCCCAGACTCCGTGTCCCATCTACTGCCAGCTCAAGACCCTTGCTTTTCACAGCCTGAGCTCCAACCACCTCTGCTTGCATGCAGAATCTCGGTCCTACGTAACTTGACTCACTCAGTGCTGTGTTAAGTCCCCCAGACCCAGGACCCTGAATTCACAGCCCATCACAGCTCCCCTGCCCCTAGCTCCTGGCAGGCACCCTAGAGAGAGCAAGCTTTCTTCCTTAGTAGGGAGCTGAGACCACATGTTGACATGAGGACTCCTTTTGTTTTCTTTGATATGAGGCTGTAGCCTCCTTGATCCCTTTCCTAAAACTCTTTCTCTGGTTCTTTGATTTCTCTACTGCCTTCACTGCCTTACTTTTTGTGTGGGGGGGGATAATTTACATAGGAAAATGCACCACAATTTCTCACACTTCCATCACCTTACTTGTAGTCACTTCCGGGTCATTTTTGGTAAGGCGATGACTAGGTCATCTTCTCTCACCATCTCCTGGAAGAGATAAGCCCAGAGTTCAGACAGAGTTCACTCAAAGGAAGAAAACTCTCTGCTGCTCATACCAAACCCTCACTCTGCCCACAAACTTGGGCTATCAAAACCTTAGCCTTGACTCATGAGAGCACTTTTCTGGAGAATACAGTGCAAAGAGACACTGACAGCTTGCCCAGGCCTCACACACGACAGACCTGCCAGACTTTGCATGTGAAGCTGCCTGCATGTGTTTCTGTGAAAAGGGTGGTGAAGAGGAATGCCCAAGTCAAAATGCCCAGGTTTAAATTCAAGTACAACATGTATGATCTCTAAGGCATTGACAAACTAACCTCTGAGAGCTTCAGTTTCCTCCCATAGAAAGTAGAAATTAGAACAGTTCACTCCAAGGGGTTGTTGCAAGAATACAGTGGTCCCGATGTATTCATGTGTTATTGGTTCCAGGACCCCTGGGGATACCAAAATCTATTGCATTTAAGCTACACACATCCTTTATATCATCCCTAGATTATTTATAATACCTAAAACATTGTGATTGACATGTAAATATTGTTATAATGTACTGTTTAGGGAAGGATGGTGAGAAAGTCTCAAAAAGTACAATTTTTTTCTGAGTATTTTCCATCTGCAGCTGATTGTATCCATGGATGCAAAGCCCACGGATATGGAGGGCCAACTGTACGTCATGTTCATGGAAAGCCTGGGAAATGCCTGCCACAAGTTCTCCACAGATGTTACTCTCGATGGAATTAAATCAGATTTTGAAAGTGGACTGTCACCTCCCTCTCTCTCCCCCCACCTCTCAAATTCAGAACTCTCATCACATAAAGGCTAGAAGATGTCACTTATGACAGGGTACTATGGGATGTCCCCAGATTCAGGAAAATATGGCTAGAAATCGTAGGGAGAAAAAGACTGGAGAGTCACAAGTGGGGAGACAGAGAAAAAAAGAGGAGCTAGAAGGAAGGTACAAGGGCAGGACCAGTGAGTGCCAGGGGCTGGGCTAGAGAAGAAGCTGGAGACTGACAGGGAGTGAGAAGGGAGAGAGGACAGGGTGAAATTGGGGGGAGGAAGCTCTCTGGAGAACCTGTGGTGTCTGCTCCTTAAAGCCGGAAACGCACTGTTCTTTGTGGAGGAGAGCCAAATGAAGATGCTCAGAATGTAATAATAAAGATTAAAGCTGACTGCTCTGTATGAGGCACGGCTTTAGGGTTTGTGTTGTTTGTCCAAAGACTTTGGTTTTGGGTTGACTTACATCAGCAGAGGACACCAGTGCCATTTCTGTGGGTCTTGTCAGAGGCCCCTGGGTCTAGCCAGAGCAGCTGGGCAACACTGAAAATGGGACATTGGGAACAGTCTCTAAGTCTCTACAGTGACACCCTCCCCGTCCCAGTTAGGATTGCTTTCTTTGTTCCTAGTGAGGAAGCAGATGCTGTCGCAGAGGTCAAGGCCAAAGGTGAAGGCATGCCATTCACAATTTGGCCAGTCTTTTGACCCTCCCCTCCAGTCAAACAAGTGGTCATCCTTTATAAAAACACAACACACACACACACATTGGGTTTTAATGAGAAAATAACTGTATACTTGCATTGAATACCTCACAATCACTATAAAACCGAAGCAGGCTGATAACATTTAAGTAGCTAACATACAGAGGAAAGCCAGATACAGAATATAGTTTTCAAACACAGCATCACTGCTTTTTCCCCTCCTCCAATTAAAAAGAAAAAGAAAAAAGTCATTTGGGTAAGCGCAACACAAAATCTAAGTTGGCAGCTCACTGAATGTTTAAAATTCAGGAAATTGATTCTGCAACTAAAACTGGATATATTCACCATCTTTAACACTTAGGCTATTTTTTCAATACATAGTTTAATTAAATCAGTTCTTCAGTTGGAAAAAAAAATGCTTGTCTTTAGAGACAAGAGCCAACACTGTCTTAGTGTTCTTTGTTATGCTTTATATATACGTGTGTGTACCTGTGTGCATATAGATGCGTGGACTCGGAGCTATATACTGCTTCTATGCCAGTGTCTAGCGTGGGCAGCATGCATGGGTATAAAGAGACAAGGAAATTGCATTGCTTTGTCCAAGTAGAACACAGCCCGGCCTCCTGCCACTGACAGACCCTGTTTCCTTAATTTCTGGATGAGAAAGCCAAGGCATGTCAGTAGTTACAGGCTCCGGAGGTAAGTGAAGGTCTATAAACACTGTAGCATGGAACACTTTCAGGAAGGTTTTAACATCTACAGAATCTAAACATTTGCTATCGTTGAGACTGACAAGCTTCCGTGCTGTCTGAGCGTGGGGATGAGCCTCAGAGGCAAAGTTGGTTACAAGCCTCTTTCTCTCCCTACAGGAGGCAGGCATGATTTTCATCCAGGCATCTGTTCCCAGAAAGTTACAGGGGCTCATATGGGATCCGAGAGCCTAGCACAGTGCGATGTCCAAAGTGGTGGCCTGGTGTTTCTTGAATAAGTAAAAAAAAAACCTCAAGAGCACAGAGAAAAATCTGGCTCACCTAAGGGAAATGTAATTTACATTTTAATAGTACTTTAATGGGATTATGAGTGAGGAGAGCAAGGAAATAAGACAGCAGTCACCAGAAGGCAGTTTAGGGGAATTACTAAAAGTTGGAGATGTAGGGGCCACAGTTAAAACAGCTTTGTGAATTAAAAAAAAACAGCTTTGTGACTAGGGGAGAGTCACAGAAACCGAATTTATTTCCTCTTCTACACAGAGTGTGGCCCCAGATCTAAGTGCCTCTGATTCAATCACTGTAGTCAAAGACTACTTCATCTCTCTCCAAAGGGATTCCTTGGCTTGTGTGGCCTTCTAAGTTTTCCTTTTGGCTGCCAATTCTCTTCTCATCTGTGGCTTTCATGTGAGTACAATGGTCCCTTCCAAAGAGAACAAAACAGGTAAGTCTTCAGGACCATTTCCCCTTGTGAAAAATTGGTGCTTGGAGGGGGGTGGCGGGTGTTAGTCTGTGTCATTTTTATGGTCTTTAGCAGATCCGTAAGTCTGTCCAGAAAACATGAAGTACGTTTTATTTTTTGTGCAACTCATAACACTCTCCTACTCTCCAGCCATCCTAATTGACGCTGTGTCTATGGCCACAGGGTGTTGCTATTGCCTTTGCTCTCATCCACAGGTCTACCTTGGGAACACCCCTCATCACTGGGACCTCAGCCCAGGCATCTGGGACCTCCAGGTAGAAATCTTTAGACAAAGTGGTCCTCCTTCGTGCTCCCATTTTACCTGACAGACTGTCTAATCCAATATTGATGTCACTTTTCTAGGAATGTCTGTCTCCATGCCAACCTCCCTCACTATAATAGGGATTTTTTTTTTCGTTTTGTGACCCCAATAGTTACAATTTTGTTGACTTCCATCTTAAGATTCAGTTGAGGAGAATGAACCATCTAAAGGTGGCACCAACTTCTCAGGTGCATGGCTACTATCTGCAGAATTTGACTTCGAATTATAGGTTCCCTTGGCAGTTTTCATGGAGCCTTGTAAGTTATTACAGAGTTCCACCTTATTACTTTGTGCTCACCAGTTGTCTGTGGATAAACTTCCCCCAGAGTCAACACTAGTCTAATAAAAAAGCAAAGACAACGTGTGTAACACTACTACAAATTTTGTGGAACGGCTACTTATTAGAATAACATAGTAGAGTTATGACATAATAGTATGAAAACAAAAAATGAATTTTAGTAAGGTTTGATTTAATTATTGCTTGTTTAAAAAACATAGTCTTAAAACAGAGGAAAAAAATAACAAAAGCTGGTTAGCTTTTTCTCCTCATTGAATATTTTTCTCATCCAGAAATTTAGGGCACCCAATTAGTGAATGCCTTTATCATATTGCTTTAAATGACAGAAAGAGTAAAGCTGGCATCCTTTATAGTATACTAAGCATGAATACAAAGCATGAGAATAAATAGGACACATTCCTAAATGTCAAATTACAAAACTGCTCAAAACCTTGCAATTGTGACTCATGCAAATACCGTGTTAGGTCAATTTAATATTACAAATACTGCATCAGCTCGGTGCCTTTATATCCCTTTTCATAAAAAAGAAATTCTCACTCACTCCCAAAGCTGGCAAACAGCTTTGGAGGAAATAACTGTACACCCATGTGCCATGATCAGTCTTGAATTTCAACACACACACACACACACACACACACACACACACACACCCTTATTGTGAACATACACTCTTTACACAAACACACAAAGGTGTACACACACAAAGCACTCCATCTTTAGGATTTGTAGCTGATTCCAAGCCTGCACTTGAATTTCTAGTCTACATTTATCTCTGTATCATCCTGAAAAACACTGGTTGCTCAGCAAAAATAATCTCTCATTTTCCCACTCTTTCTCCCTCCCTCCCTTTTCCTTTCTCTACCTCCATGACTTCAATGCTTCACTTCTACAAAATCCAAAACAATTCATCTTTCTTCCTACTACCTCTAAGGCCCACTTTATAGTACAAAATAGTTATAAACACCTTTTTATTTCTGGTCATCTACCTCTCCAAGGCAGAGTTTGCCCTTTTATTTATTTTTTCAATTACTGCCACTCTAAAAATACCCCTACTATCTTGAACCAAGCTGTTCAATGAGTACAGATTTTATTCATGTTTAGATTTTCCCCTATCCCATCATAAAAATAGTTGTTGCTCACTAAATATAGTTTCATATGAAGAAACCTAACTGTGAAAATGTGTCCTCCTAAACAACAGATTGGTCAATAGTATAAGCAGACAAGATCCTAAAGCTAAAATAATCCATTTGCTTTGGCTTTCTCCCCCACCTTCCTCAACCTCCTAGTGTAGAATAGACTGTGTCTGCAACATTAAGAACTATTGTCTTTAAAGTGTGGATTTTATGTATTGCAGTCATTAATTGCTCCCAATTAAAAACAATTAAATGTAACAGAGATTGAATCATAAGTGCCTCTTGGGTGATAATGGATAGAAACTCCATTCACTTTACGGCTGCTGTAAGAAATGGGAGTCAACCCAACATCTCTGAGGCCAAGAGCAAGGGGTAGAAGCTGGTGCCAAGAAATACCCCAGGTCATGTAGACTTACACCAGCCTGGGCCCTACTGTTTTCTGAATGGCCCTGTCACCATTGTTCTTCCTCATCACCCATTAAGGCTGGTCTCAGTTCTGCCCCCAACTACTATGTTGATTTGCTTGTAATATCTTTGTCCTTTTGGATCAATTGTGGACTGATCCAAACCCAGAGGCTTCCTGGAGTCATAATGAAATCCTTTCTCTTCTGACTCCTGGGTCTCAGAGTTTGATGGGTGGACTTCCTTTTTGCTTTATTTTTCATTATTGTGAACTGCAGCTTCTGGTCTACTTAGGATTGCTGAGTTTATATGCACTTTAATAAATAGTCCATTAAAATGCTTTGATTTGATAATTTCTTGGTTTCTTGGTATCCCAAGCACCAAAGAAGTTTCCTGGGCTGAAGGAAGTTTATTCATTGTCCTCTTCCTCCTGGTTGGCGTAGATCCCTGCCTCCCAGCGCAAGGCCAGAGCGCTCTTTCTTCGATTAACCCGTGTGGCCTCAAGGACCTAAAGAGAGAGCGGGAAAAAAATTACACAGCGTTCATGGATGTTAATTATGTACACAAAACTATCTTCCTCTGTGTTTCTTCTCTCCAGTCCCTCCCTCAACAGCATCTACAGGAGAAGGAATAATAAATTATCTGATACTGCTGGGGGTGGGTGATGGGTAGGAGAGAAGTTAGAAAAAAGGGGGGTGGGAAGTGCAGGTTGTTATTCATCTCAAAGTCATAATTCACTTGCTATTTGATCCATAGTTTATAATATAGAGATTTAAATTGTGTGTTCTATTCCGCATTTCAGTTTTGTTTTGTTTTGCTGTGGTGCCAGGGATTACAACCACAGCCTGTGCATGCTAAGCAAGTACTCTACTACCAAGCTAGACCTGCAACTCAGCATCAAGTTTTTAGGTAAAGCAGATGTCCAGTCTACATGCTCCATCCAGTAAAATTTTATGTGATGCTGAAACTGTTCTGTGTCAATGCCATGCCATATGGTAGCCACTGTCCACATGTGACTACTGAGCACTTGAAATAGGGCCTTATGGCTGAAAAACTAAGTATTTCATTGTATCTGATTCTTCACTTAAATTTAAACAGCCCATGTGACTGTTCCATTGGACAGGACAACTACAGATCTTTAGTCTCCTCATAAACAAACATTAGGAAGCAGTGGCTAACTCTGGGCCAGTGTGGATGTACTCTACCCAGCTTTGTGGATCTGCATAAACTTGATCGTGTTTGTATCCCAAGAATCTACTTAGGCATAATTAAACACAAGGAGTCATTAAGTGTGGGAGGGAAGGCTTTATAGTCAATAAAAACCAATCCCAGGATTCTGATGTAACTTCAGGGCCATGTGTACTAATCAATTAAGTGACAACATCAAAGACAAAACAAGCTCATCACCATGGAGTAGGACCTCCTTCTCTCCTGTTCACTAGAATAATCTGTAGACTCCTGAGCCAATCTGGTTCATTTCTAGTTTGGCTAAAATGAGGTCCAGATGATAGGCATTTAAGTGCCAACCATGAAAAATGGGTAACCAAGTACTCTGCATTAGCTTCATATGGAGAGAATCCAACTTTAAACTTCCATCTTGGAGGCCTGCCCATTTCTCCCAATAGGGAGGGCTGGACCTAACCTGTAGGCTGCAGTCTGTCATGTTTGCTGAATGAATGCGGCATTGTAAAGTACCTAAGCTAAGTCAAGTGTCTTGTTTATTTTATAAGCACACCGTGGTCATTTGATATCCAAGAATAACAAATAAGTCAGAAGAAAGCATGCCTCCAAAGCTGGTATGGTTAAATGGAGGGTTTTTCTGGCCAATGTGTAATTGCACAAAACTGAGAAATGGTGCTGGATTGGCCATGGAAGGTATCAGCTCAAGTTCCAGTTTTCTCTCTTTTTGTGCATCTTGTGTTTCAGGTTTCTCCCTGTATAAAATGGAGACTGCACCTGCCTGCTTTACAGGCTTTCTCAGGAGGCAATGAAGACTCTGAAGTCCAGGCAGGTCTAGGTTTAAATTCTAGGGATTGTGTGACCTTGGAAAAGTCACTTAGCCCTGTGCCTCAGTATGTTCCTGTAATATAGGCATAATAAAAGCTACACCACAGAGCTGGCCTGAAGAATAAACAAAGCAATATATGGAAAGCATCTAGCATAGCTTCAAGTGCATATAAGTTCTCAAACAACAATAAATATTTCCGGGCTGGTGAAGTGGCTCAAGCAGTAAGAGCACTTGCCTAGCAAGCACGAGGCTCTGAGTTCAAACCTCAGTGCCACCAAAAGAAAAAAAAATTATTTGTATCACCATGTAAAAAGATGTATAAACTATGAAATGGAATACAAAAGGAACTCTGTTGTATAAAATGGTCATTTGTTTGCCTTTCAGATTTCAGACACAAAACAAAAGGTTTCTATGAAAGCTAAAATAAATCTAAAGTTCTGAAAAAACTGGTCCCCATCCTTTCCAACTGTTCCTTGTCTTGTTATTTAAACCCGATTTTAATGCTCAATCAACTTCAACAAATTTAGCTTGCTCTATTTTTTCAGGAACCTAGGTTAAAATCCATCTATCCATCCATCTTGCAAATATTTATTGAATTTCTACCAAGTGTCAGGCACAGTGCTGCATGCTGAGAATTATGGAGACATTTAGCACAGCTTGGGTTTGAATGTTGACTACTCAAGAGCTCAAATAATTCATTTATACAGAGAGGAGCTCTTAATTTATTCTGTTTAATTTGAATAGCCACTTAACCATGTTCCTGAGTTTCTGATGAAAGCTAATTTCCCTAGTAACACACAGACAAGAAAATAAACGAATCACCACTGAAATAGCTGGAGACTTTGGTATAAAGTGTTCCAGGGGCTATGATTCAGGACTATGTTGGGGTAAAGCCATCCTACAACAGGCTTTGGAGAATTCAAAAGCCAAGCCCTCGGGGAAGGTATGAATGAGCACTTGTTCCACAATCAATTATGTGGAGGCGGATGAGTGTGCCTATAAATCTCTAGCAAACTTAGAGCTCTTAATACTTCCATTATTGCATGTTAATTTTACTTTCTAAAATTTATCCTTTTCTGGACTGAAAGCACATGCCTTTGGGCTATAATTATAGTACATATGTAAGTTACAAGTACTATGAACCAGTTACTGTTTAAACCCTCAGGACTGTTCTGTGAGAGTCAGGCTATAATTGCTCCCTTTTCACAGACAAAAAGACAAAAGCACAGAGAGATTAAATAACTTGTCCTGCATTGCCCAGTCAGAAGGAGGAAAGATCAAGATTGAACCCAGCACTCTGGGAGTGGAGTTGATGCTCCAGGCCACCAGGCTGCTGTGTGGCTGGAAAGAGTCTGGAGCAATAAACACACTCCATGGAAATGAAGAGGGATAGCATTAAAAAAATAATAGTAGGACCTGATTTGAGGTTTTGTTGTTTTCACAAATTGATTCAAGTTCAGATGTGGTGAATTCTTTTTTAACAACCCTATAATGATAATTTCACCTTTCTAATAGAGAATTCAAATCAATTGCTTACTTTGAATGAAATCAATATAGATAATTTTATTTTGGGGATGAGAAACAAAAGGCAGTATGTTAAATCATGAGTTAACCCATTTTTATTAAAAATTTATTCTATGTTTTTCTTCCATTGAAGACAGACTGGGCCCAATTCTATCTTCCTTGAATATACTTGACTGGATTTTCCCTGTGCTGAACTTTACTGATCCAAATTAGGATCAGTAAAGAATTAGTGCCTAATTCTCAAACTACTATACCCCAATGAGAACCACAATTAGATAATAAGGAAGGTAAACAGAATGATATTCTCAAAATTCATTTGAAACCTTATGATTGCCAGTAGGTAATAACAGCTCAAATCTATAGTTAAGTATACCTATTTTGCTAAACAGTGATTATGTATTTAAAATACATATCATGCTATAGGTTGGTACAACCAGTATGATGAATAATTTGCATTCTCTAGTGAATGTCACCATGTACACAAGCCCTACACCCAGCTCTACTCCTAGGTAGAGAAATTATCCCATGGGAACAAAAAAGGACTTATATAATAACATCCATTAAGGCTAGGAATGGGGGTTGGGGATTTAGCTCAGAGGAAGAGTGCTTGCCTGGCAAGTGCAAGGCCCTGAGTTCAGTCCCCAGCACCGAAAAAAAAAAAAAAGGGAAAAATAGAAAAAAAAAAAAAAAAGCAAAACAAAAAAAAAGGGCTAGGAATGTAGCTCACTGGTAAAGCTCTTGCCTAACAAATATGTACAAAGCCCTGGGTTTGATCCCTGGCACCATAAAACAAAATTTAAAAATTCATTGGAGCATTGTTTGTAATGACAGACAACATCATCAGTAACAAAACATGACAACAAAACCTGGGAACAACCTAACCTACACTTCCATCAATAGGAGAGTGAATAGTTACATATTCATTCAGTGTAATACTATACAGCAGACAGAATGTACTAAAGCCACACACAGCAACAGGGACACATCTGAAAACAATACAGAAAGAACACAGCAAGGAACAGAGTATGACTTACCATTTATAGAAAGTTTCAAGACATGCAAAAATGTAAGATTTTGTTTCTTTATATTTGTGGTAGAAAAACATGCATGGAAACGAATACCAAGGTCAAAACAGTCACCTCTCAGAAGATAGAAATAGAGTATGACACACACAAAAAAAGACAGAAAAACAGGAACTGGGAGAAGGAACAAGAGGGCTTGAGTTGTATTTGCAACATTAACTTCTCTTAAAAACTATTAAGCAAATACTATGAAACAGTTAAGAATGGGCAAAGCTGGAGATACACGTTTTATTATCTTATTATGTTATATTATTGGAACTTTTGTGTGTTGGCTCAGGGCATCAGGAACTGTGTTTTGTTGACTGAAATATTCTCGGAACCTAGTAGAGTGTGCCTGGGACCTAGTGGAGCCTCAGTAAATTATTAACTGAGTAAATGAATGATTCTCTCTACAGTTCTGTATATTTGAAAGAATTCCTTCAAAATAAAACTAAAATATTATAGAAATAAGAACATGAATGCCAGGTGCTGGTGGCTCATGCCTGTAATCCTAGCTACAGAGGAGGGAGATCAGGAGGATCGTGGTTCAAAGCCAGCCCGGACAGATAGTTGGTGAGACCCTATCTCAAAAAACCCTTCACAAAAAAGGGGTGGTGGAATGGCTCAAGGTGTAGGCCCTGAGTTCAAGCCCCAGTACTGGAAAAAAACAAAACAAAACAAAACACTATGCTTTCTTATATTGAAAAAGAGAAAAAATTTAAAGAAATAAAAAATTAAAAAGAAAAACATTGTGCTTTCTCACAGTACATGCATTTGTGAAATCCACATAAAAGAAAATTGCAGGGGAAAGGACAGATGGGGGAGACCAATGTTTAACTAAGCTTCTAAAACAAAAACACAGGTTGCAGGATTGGAGGAAGGAACTGGAATGGTCTGCCTTTGGAATAACTCACCCTAAATCTGTGAGTTAGAACACTCTGGATTTGTGTTAAGGTAACAAACGACAGGTCAGAACAAAAGCTCGGTTTGCATGAGCTGCTTTGTTTCTAACCAGACCAGAGTACGTCCTGCTGTGAAAGCCTAAAGATTCTGCAAGAATCCAAACAGTGCATCCATCAGTTGTACCCCGTGGTTCAAATATCTTCCAGATCCATGGGTGGGCGAAATCTTCTCTGATCCGAGCTCACTGCACAGCAAAGCACAGCACAGTGTATCACTGCTAACATGGACTGTGGCGTTTTGACACAGTCCCCCAATTCAGAAAAAAGTCAGCAAGAAATACATATGGAGACAAGCCATTTTTCTTGTCATTCTCATTTCACACAACAGGAAATGGCAAACCACAATAGCATGCACCTGGGTCAAGCATGCATTAAGATCAAGACAAACAAGTTGAAAAGTACCTCGGAAGTCACCTTGCAAGATAGTAACTTAGAGGTGTACTGGTAGAGAGGGAAAAGAGCAGGGTTAGTACATGGCAGAGACACACTCACAGAATACCCCCCAGCTGGGAATGCTACCCATGCCAGGGTGGAAAGGAGGGGAAGTAACTTCAGGAGACCATTACACACCCATGCCAAGATTTTTGCTTCATCTGATATTTATTTATTTAGAAGTCTATATCTCTTGAAGCAAGTAGATATCCCATTATTCATCAATAAAAATATCAGATAAGCCAGACCTTGCTAATTCAAGATGTTGCGTTCATTTTCTGCACATTGAATTAACAAGATCCCTTCCCTTCCGTGAATAACCAGCTGCCCACCAACAAGCTCCTTGATGGCCATTTGGGGTTTGACAGACTTCGTAACCAAATATTTTTTTCTATTCCTATAGGCTTCTTTGAACCTTAAAGCAATCTTGTAGCCTGCTGAACCCTTAAAAGAAGACCCTAGTTGAAGAATCTACTTTGACCAAATAGGGTGATATTATCTGACCCCTGTGCCAGAACTTTGGGGGACTGGATAAGATCTCAAGAGTATGATGGCCCTAGGGTGATCATTTAGGATTAGTATGATGATCTATTAGATCTTCTAGAAGACTAAAAGTCTTTTGCAAGAAAAGCATAGGAAAAAGTATATCTCATTTTCCCCAAGTATGGGAAATGAGACAGCAGGACCAACTCAGGACAACACCCTCTCTAGAACTGTGGTAACAACCTTATGTTTACACTTGAGGCATTTCCTGGTTTGGGCACTAGTAGCCACAGATTAGTTAGGTGGCCTCACACATCTGGGATCATCAACTGCTTCCTATGTGCAGCACTTAAAAATTACAGTTGTGCAGTGATCAGGAGAATGGTTGGAGATGAGGGCCTTGGAGCACCCCTCTCCTTTGCATCAAACCTACAGTGTGAGTGAGAACCCAAGAGAGAGCAGGTTAATACAAAGCATGGCCGATTGTGGCTGACTTCCTGTAGGGCCTGGGGAGGGAAAGGCATTGAGGCAGATGGGCTTCCTTCATCTGCTCAGAGGGACCCGACACAAGTGTCAATCCACGTCCTCATCTGGAGGGCAACGTAAGCTAGGAATACTTAAGAGAAGCAGTAACTGCCATTCCTCAGGCTGGCATAGACCAAGCAACGAATGAGGCTTTCATTTCACAACAGGTAAGGGTGGTTGGAAGACCTCATGGTAACAAAGTGTTGAAAGAGACCAAAAACAGGAAAAAACCTGCTGAGAACAGATCCTGTGCTAGAAGTGAAGATGGGGCTGAGCACCCAAGAGGCTGTGATTGGCACTCCAGCCAGCTCCCCACAACTGAGAAAGGAGAAGCAATCCACTGATAGGTTCAAGGGCATCGTTGACTCAAGGATCCATTAACTTTACCTTTTGAGGTTCAGTCAGGTTGGGGGAACTAATGGCCAGAAGAATACCATTTGCCTAAATACAGTCATGCAGTTCAGAACAGACTGATGAATCAGAGTTTCCTAAAGGGCTTCCCTGGTGCCTGAAGGAAAACAATCCAAACAGCTCACTATCTGTGCCCTCTAGTCCACATATCTTCCAGATCTAGAGTGAGCAAAATCTTCTCCAATTCCGCCTTCGAGACAATTCTTTTGCAAGGTATCAAGAAGCCCTTTAGGGGCTAGGCGTGGTGGTTCATGCCTGTAATCTCAGGTATGCAAAAGGGAACAGATGGGAGGATTGCAGTGCAGGCTGGCCCCAGGCAAAAGTGCAAAACTGTATCTGAAAAATAAAACTAAAGCAAAAAGCACTGAGGATATGGCTTAAGTAGTAAAATGCTTGCTTAGTAATAAGCACAAGGCCCTGAGTTCAAACCCCAGTACTGTCAAAAACCAAACCAAACAAACAAAAAAGCACTTAGAAGAAGAAGCCCTTTAGGAAACTAACTCATAAGTACATTAAGAGCTCCATGACTGACCAAAGATACCATCAGACTCAGATAAGGGCACATTTCCACATAAAATAACACTTCCAGCCAAGAGAAATTCACTGTGAGGAGCAGGCTTGCTTTATCTGGGTGTGCAGTGCGCATTCAGCACCAGGCCAAAGGGACAAATGGCACTGAAGCCCAGTCCCCTGCAGAGCTGCCCCTCACAGAAGAAAAGGTGCCTCTTTCTAATTCATACAAAGGATCTGGAGAGGCTGGTAAATAACCTTGTGTATGGGGTGAGGCTAGCACCCCTCCTTTCTCAGAAATTAGCCAAGGACTCCATTTAATAAGCAGGTCTTCACTGAAGCCTCCAGCATAGAGACACCCATTAGTGACAACACAGAACGAGGAAGCCAGTCCTGGTGGCTGAAGACTTGGACCACTGCAGGAGGCAATGCTCAATCAAATTCTGAGTGGTACCACATATGGCCATTTGAGATAACTTTTTAGAGAAATGGAGTTTTTCCTGTTTCTTGTCATTGATCTTTTTGCCAACTGCAAAATAAGAAGAACATCTACAGATGACTTAAGTATCACTGATCCAGAGACTTCTGGGTAGATATTTGAAGAGACTTCACAGTTTCATTTTCCATCTTCTGTCATTAGCTGAACCCTAAATAACCATCTTGTCTCTAGCAGGACAGAAGGACTGCTCAAGAGCATGACACAGTCCACCAACCCCACCTTCCTAGCTGGGATTCCATGAGTCAGGAGCTTCCTGGCCTGGCAATGATTTTCATGACAAAGAAAAACTGAGGGAGAGCAGGACCCTGAGCTAGGGATAGCAAGCCAAGAGAACCATTGGTACTCTGATGGCTGGGGGAGGGTGGGGGAATGGGTGGACACTGAACCTGTTTTGATGGCAAGGACCAGTTTTTCTTAGTTCTGTTGGCAGAGTTTCTCAGCATGGCTTCCCCAGGTTCTTCCTCTTTCTCCTGTCATCCTCATGACTACCACTGTGCCCAACGTGCCACATTATCCATACGTCCCAGTTACTTGTCATCTGGTTTTAAGTCTGCCTTATTTTTGGGAAGCACAGCCAATAAGAATTCTTTTTGTTCAACTCACAAAGCACTTGCTACTTTCTATGAGCAAGCACATGCTTGAGTTGTGATCGTGGGGGAAAATCCAAAATATTCTCAAATGGGGTTTCTAATGTCTGAACGGGCATATAAAAATGGTGCTGAGAAGCTTACTGAAGAAGTTCTGGCAGGTGAGGTACTGGGGGTGATGCTGCATGGCATGAGCCATGTGAAGCTCTTAGAGGGTGGAGAAACTAAGAAACCACACTTCAGCCACAGAATAGTGTATGTGAATGGAGCCAGGAGGCAGAATTACTTCACTTTCAACAACATCACCTTTAGTTTCTAGGGATAGAGAAGCCAGTTATACAACTAGTCCCCAAGCAATTTATCTGCTCTCTGTTATTATCCTTGTTTAAGAGACAATTAAAGAAAAACAGAGATGGGGCTCAACACATCTGTCAATGAGTAACAGATACAACAGAAAAGATGTCTTAACTGAGAAGAGCTACAAGTTGGTCTTGAATTTGAATGTGGCTGATGATCATATAATTGCTCTAGAAGCAATCTGGATTTTGAGCTTTGGGTCTCTTAAAAGAGCAGATAGCAGATTGATAGATTTTGTCCTGTTCCTAAGAATTTTCAATGATAAACTCCATTCTATATTGTAATGTCCAGTAACAGTTCTAAACTCTTGGCCTTGAATCCAAGACTGGAGATAGTAAGTTTGTTCAGTTAGCAGCTTTCTCCCTTATCCAAAATGTTTATTTACTTGGGCAAAATAAGAGACAGGAGGCTGTCTCTTCACTGAGTAAGTGAGGGCAATCAATACATTAAAATGCTGGTGCTAAGTAGCTTCATTAATGCAAAGGGGATTCCCAACTTCGCTGGCATTGGTTAGGTGGTGGCTGGAGTGTCATATTGTGCCTGAAGGAGGTAGCCCACCTCTGCCTATGTCATGACTAGGAGCTCACTCTTCCCTTCTGTGTACAGTATTTTTTTTTTTTATCTTAACAGCTGTACTCCGATGCAAAAACCAAGAGATACAAGAGTGTGCTTGGAAAACATTTGCATGGGTCACTGCTAAGTGGGTCTACTTATTTTTTCCAACTCATGCTACTCAACTAACTTCCATAGCATCACTGGGAAAAAAAGAAACAATACACTTATAGCACTACACTCCAAAAAGGCCATAGGCAGCCCAAAATACCTAAAAGCAAACTCCACACTAAAACTGGGCTGCAGAAAAGAGCTGGTTGAAGTGACTTAGTGGGCAGGATGTGTTCTACAGGCTGAGGAAGGGGTTGCCGTCAGGGACTCAGGGAAGACTACAGGAGCAGCCACAAGGGCCAGGGCTCACCCCACTGTGAAACACTGAGAACAGACCACTGTTACCATCATCTAGATGGTAAGAACGTCAACAAGGACTTTCTACTGTGGACCTCATGGAGTTCAAGTTTAAGGTGGCTATAGTTTATCATTCAAACTGGGACACTTTTAAGAGTGAAAGGGGATGGTATTCATAGCTACACCAGGACAAAAGGCATAAACCAAGACTGTCCTAGATAAACTGGGTAGTTTATCAAACCAAACTATTTGTGATCTGAGTGTAATTGTGGAGGGCGGGGGGAAGGGGTAGTGATGAACACCAGAGGCCCTACAGGGTTGGCATAAAACCCTGAGGCTGCCCCCAGGTTCCTGTGGACTATGAGGAAACTCTTCTGTCTCAAGAAATTTCAAGAAAGCACAGAGCAAACAACTTCCTTCACAGTGCATGTGAATACCACGTGCAGAGTTCTGAGGGTTGAGGGTAGTGGGACAGCTGTGTGGTTTTTAACTGTCATTTAAAATGGCTTTTTCCTGCCAAACTGCACACCAGCTTGGAAACAGCCCCAAACACAGTTAGTCTTTTGAGCCCTGTGTAACTCTTCTAAGGATTGCCACAGAACAGATTTTGAAGGAGCAACAATGCATAGTTCTGTAGAAATATAAATTCTCTATAGAGTATGCTAGGCAGCTCCTGGAGCCCGGAGATGTTTCCAAAGTGCTTCCGTCCTTCTTCCAGTCTTCAAGCTTTCTTCCTCCACACCCAGCATCCCGTGCACCAGCCTTGCTGGACTTGGCAGCAAAAGGACATGTTCTTTGATGCTCACCATTTTTGGAATATGAGGCAAAACCCCAAACCCAACTCCAGGCATGTTACACCATGCATTTGGAAACTGGTTTTGGAACCAGGATGCATGCTGGCCAGACAATGCAGTCACATCCGTTCCTGAGCTGTAATACCACTCACCACACTGACAGCTGCCCTTGGAGACGTGAAAGGGAGGGAAAACTTACACAACTATCATCCATTCTCTCGCGCCTTTTAGATTTGTGGGTCTCATAGTCTTCCATGAGGGTCTGCATCAGATTCTTGGGCCGCTGGGTTCCGGCAGCCTCTTCAGGGGTTAAGTCAGGCTGCAAGCTGGGACCTTCAGTGGTGGGGGATGGAGGAGGTTTGACTTTCTCTATTTTCCCTGAAACAACATGAAGAGAACACCCTTTCTAAGCTTGTCTGCTCATAACTGCTTTCAAAAAGAAGAGACAACTGGCAAAAAAGATAAAAGAAAAAAAAAAAAAAGACAAGACAACTTCTGACATGGAGAATGGCACCAGAATGATGGGTAAGTGCTCAGGCCATTTCATTACCAGAACAAAGGAGAAAGTTCAAGCCCATCCAACAAAGATCACAGTGATACCAGGCTCAAAGGGGCCTGAAAGGCACTTTGCAAACATATGTCAGACAGACAGACAGACGCTGGCTCCAATTGTTTTGGAGACATATATTCTATCACAGATCATAGCATGAGGCTGACAGAGGATACAGTGTCTTGAGCCTTAGAAACCCACGCCTTACAGATGAGGAAATATTTATCAAGATCTTACAATCCTTCGTCCTTCTTCCCTTCATCCCTTAGCCCTGGACTTTTTAAGGTACCCCTCGACCTGAGGTCATTTCACTCCTATACACTTAGCATGTGTAAAACTTACAACTGACTTTAAAACTAAAGATTTGAGCGCGAATACACATAACCCATATAATTAAACAGTATTTTGACATCAACAGTAAGATAATAAAAATTTCAAAATCTCCAAGTTCATTAGAAATAGTTTCTATCGTTTATTATGAAAAGAACAGAATGCTATAAGCATCCCCCAAACAGTGTAAATATAACCTAGAATAAACATATATCAAGATTTTGCAATCCTTGATCCGTCCTTCTTCCCTTCATCCTTGGACTTTTTAAAGTAACCCTAGACCTGAGGTCATTTCACCTCTATACACTTAGCATGTTCCTCTAAAACTTACAACTGACTTTTAAACCAAAGGTTTGAGAAACAGCAGAGCACCGTGGTGAGTATGCACACTCTGGAATCTGCATGCTGGAGTTTGAATTCACAACTCAGCAGCCAAATGACTCTGAGCCAGTTACTTTCCGTTTTTCTCAATTTCCTCATCTGCAAAATGAATTTGGCGACAGAGGTACCCACCCTTACACAGTTGTTGTAAAGACTAAGTTAACAGTGATAAAGTATCCAATGAGCATTGCTATTTAATTGGAATCTCAAAGAATAATGACCATAGGGTAAGATGAACAACTCTGTGAGTATTCTGCAAATAATTTTTGTGACCCTTATAGGACCAGAAATAAATACTAGCTTCCAGGCTAATTATCACCACTTTCCAGTTGATCTCCTAAATATCCAGATCATCTCCTATCTACCACTCTACCAGCATTAAACATCTAGACAATAGAGTGAGTCTAAATTTCCTGCCTCTAGCTTTAGCCTTTCACATAGTGGGCCCTCTGCCTAACAATGCTTTGTTTATACTTCTGTGAAAGTCATTTTCACAAACTGACTTATATCATATATGGTCACCACAGTGTCTGGCTTCTCAATTTACTGTAAAGTCACCAATGACACAGACAACTTCAACTGCCTATGAATCCCCTTAATTCAATAAAATGCAAACTCCATCAGAGTAGGGCTTTGTCTGTCCTGGTCTCTGCTGGATTCCAGCAGAAGCTTGTGGTACATGGCACCAGGCAGGAGTTGATGTGTACTGAGTAAACCAAGAGGGACTCTATGAGGCACTGTAACAGTGGGTTGGGACAGAATCCCCCACAGAGAACCTAGGAACGAAATAAAATATCCTAGGTCTATAGAATGACAAAGCCAATGGCTTCGTAGTAATAATAAGCACATTTATATGGCATTTGCTTTATAGCATTCATGTCTTTCAATCCTTACAAGAACATTATGATGTAGTTACAATGGATGTCATGACACCCAGGAATGGCTTAGAACATAGAGGCTCAGATGCTAACTCCAGTCCAAGTTCCATTTGAGGGTAACAATCAGAGTTGGTCTGGCACACAAACCCAGTGCTGATTATGGCTAAATTATATGATGGGGTGTATAGTGAAAGAGAGTTGTGACAAAAGCAAAAGGTTCCTGTACAGAAGTGGTCAGCCACTACTAAAGACATTTCCTGCTTATTTCTTTTCATTCTGGCAAAACAAAATCCATCCCTAGAGCAAGTGTTACCAGTTATAGCCACTAGAGGTCACAAGAAGCAAGGATGATTTAGGTCTGGAGCAGCTGCCTCCAAAGAGAAAGTGGCTGGAGGTCTTTGAGAGAAATGGCTTCAAATGACCAAGCCCACGCCAGAGCCTCAGAAGGGGCTGCTACAGGTCCCCAGACAAAGGAGGCACTGTGTCTCATCCCCACACATCTGGCTATCCCATACGTCTGGTAGCATCTGGGGAAGCTATCTTACCTGGGCTTCTGTGGCCCTATAATCTCCAAACATCTACCACCCCCAGGATGGTTCAAACCATGCACTAGAATTCTGTATGCCATCTTAGAAATCACACAGACTGCCAAAAAGCTGGAGAGGCACTGTTCCACATGCAACACCTTCCTCAGAGGCCTGAGTTTGTAGCTGATGGGCCTCACATAGGATGGTAAGAGACTTCTGGCCCTCCTCCCCAAGTAGGCTACACTGCAGCTCCCACCACTGTTGCGGCCCCAGAGGTCATTACAGAAATGTGGCACAAATTGTCTATACCATAGGTCTGGGAGGCCAATCACATTTGTCTGTGGCTCAATGAGGCCCTGTAAAGCACCTTGGCCTAGAGAACATACCTGTTAGAATCCCTAACCACTCTTACTCACCCCATCAAACCGTGTGTCATATTGGTTTGTACACCTAGTGACGGCAGGGTTGCTAGCTGATGACACCTGAAAGTAGCCTCCATTTTCAGTGATTAACATCCTGCCGTCTATTTCCTCACCTGCCTGAAGGACAGCTTTCTTGAAGGACCCCAGTCATTGTCCCTGGGAAACAAGAACAGACTTGCCATGCAGAGCTTGGGGCAATCCTGACCTGTCAAGCTAGACCTGACATTTACAGAGCAGGGACCAGGTACGATGTGACCTATACTACTGCCACAAGGAACCAACAGAGCAAAATCAGATTGGAATTCTGAGTGGAGGATTAATTCTGAGTTGAGTTTATTTCATAAACATGATTATGTTCAAACCATTTTATCTAGATTAAGTTTATACTCACAGTTTTGAAGATGTCTCAGAGTAAGCAGCTTGACTTGGCTGGGTTACTTCCAAAGTTGTAAGTCTGTTTTGGGGAAGTGGAGGTACTGGGGTTTGAACTCAGGGCCTCAAGCTTGCTAGGCAGGCACTCTACCACTTGAGCCACTCCACCAGCCCTGTTTCGTGTTGAGTATTTTCGAGATAGGGTCTCACAAACTATTTGCCTGGGCTGGCTTCAAACCAGAATCCCCCTGACTTCTACCTCCTGAGTAGCTAGGATTACAGGCTTGAGCCACAGAGCCTAGAGCCCAAACCAAAGCTGTATTTCTAAAATTGTGTCCTTAGCTATGGGGAGAGGACGGGAGGGGAGGGGAGGGGAGAGCTGAAGGTTCTGTTCTGCTTTTCTCGAAGGTGGAGGAAGCCATGAGCTAAGGAATGCAGGCAGCACAGAGAATGGATAAGGCAAGGCCTAGAGCCTTCAGCTGGAGCACAGCCTTACCCAGACCTTGACTTTACCCAGTCTTACTCTACTCAGTAAGACTGGTCATAGACTGGCTTAAGCAGCAGACATTTATCTCCTCACAGTTCTGGAGGCTGGAAGTCCAAGATCAAGGTGCCACATGGTGGCAAACGTGTTCTCACTGTGTAGAGAGCAACCTTCTCACATGGTGGGGTGAAAGCAAGCTCCCTGGCCTCTCTTCTCACAAGGCACTAACCCCGTTATGTGAGGTCTACTCTGGCACCCTCATCTAAACCTAATTACCTCTCAAAGGCCTCATTTCCAAATACTGTAACTTTGAGGATTAAGGGCTCCAACATATGCACTGAGGGAACACAGTCCAGTCCATAGCTGACACATTCCTGACTTCTAGGACTATACGATGTTAAATGTGAACAGCCTAAAGTTACTATATTTGTGGTAACTTGTTACAGCAGCAATAGGAAACTAATACAAATATTAGCCCAGTATTACCCTTCATGCACACAGGTGCACAGGAAAAAAATAGAAAGCAATGGCTATCCCTGGTGGCACAGGACAACAGTCACTTTTCTTTTTATTTTCTGTGATAAAAAATAGTTTAAGTTGGGCACCAGTGTCTCACGCCTGTAATTCTAGCTACTACTTCAGAAGACAGAGATCAGGAGGATTATGGTTTGAAGCTAGTCTGGACAAACAGTTCATGAGACCCCTATCTCAAAAAAAAAAACCTTCACAGAAAAGGGCAGGTGGAGTGGCTCAAGATGTAGGCCCTGAGTTCAACTCCCAGCACCACAAAAATAATAATAATTTAATATACAAAACCAGAAACTTTTTATTTTAAATGTAATTAGTCCTTGTGAGAAAAGAGGATAACCCTGTTGTCTATACCCTTCATAGACTCGGCAGATCATACACCTTTTCATCTTCCCAAGCAAGAAGTTTAGAAATTTAAAAACCTCTGCTTATCTTGGCATTCAAAGCTGTAGCCATGTGAGGCAGACTAAGGAGCAAGAAGCTCACTGGCAGAAAATTTTACTCTACATTGGCTGGTGCTGTCTCCCACCATGAGTGGAAAAAGAAAATTAGGAAGCACCAATGTGTGTTTCCTGTTTATTTGTCAGAAATAGTTAACTGCTTTCTCATCCAGAGAAAGCAAGCCATGCTTGGCTGCGGGTTGCGATTCTCCAAACAAGAAGGATTTCCCTTGGGCATGTGTGGTCTGCTGTGCTGACAGGGGCAGAGAAAAGAGTTTGGATTTCCTTCTACCCAAGGGAACCCAGAGAGGGCTGCGTGTACTCAGCACATAGCAGCTGTCAGCCCTGACAGCCCAACTCCTGCAAGAAGTCTAACTTCTAAAAAAGTCAAGAACATGGACTCCAAAAGCTTAGGAAGTTATTTTGGTCGAACATAATTTGTGATTATTAATTATCCGTATACATG